ATTTCTTTATCAATTTTCAACTGTCAAAACAATCTCTTCGCATATAAATGCATTCCCAAACCAAGTGAGTATTCTTAGTACAAAAAATAATAACTGACCTCCTTTATTTGTTGACGAGTACGAATACAAGATAACGATCTTTGAATAAGATTTATATCACATTCATTGTAAACTAATTAGCTCCATTTATAGAATTTTTAGTGAGTTATTTATGTTAGTTTGTAATGGAAATAAAAATGATCAAATTACGACCTGAAATAGCAAAATTCTTGAAATCTTTGCAACAAACACCTACTTGCAACACATATCCATAATTGAAATGTCTTCGCAGGCAGCATAAAACAGCTTCTGGGACCGCTACGACCCGTGGGCCGCCAGTTTGAGACCACTGATCTATGAGATATACAAATTCAAAATAATTCAAGTAACACTTTTTCCTGTTTGCAAATTTAAACGACGAAGTACTGGGTAAACTACTGTCGCAGCCGGGTGCTAATTCAATTGAGAGTCGTTATACAGACTCTTCAGTAAGATTCCTTCAATTTCAAAATCCTATATTAAAAAAAAAAATAAATAAATAAAATAAAAAAAAAATCGTGTACAATAACTGTTAGAAGAACAGAACGGAAATTCACCAAGTTTTCCTTATTACATTTACAAATGTTCTGTGCATGCCTCACTGGTTACTTGACACATATATCCAAGTGATAGTAGCAGGAAAGAATTCAAAATGGCCAAATTTTGGTGTACCCACGCATGTTTATCAAAGTTATTTCTTCATTCATTCTCTATTTCAATTTTGGTTATGCTGCACAATGTCTTCCATGGTAAAAGTGACAACGGGAAATTTTATGGTGTTCCCTTTCCTGAATACCTAAGGACCTTTTTGTGGCATTATCTTTCTTTGACGCCCTAAGCACGTGATTATATTGCTTAATGGTTAATCCAGCCCTGCTAGAAGAGTTCAGTTCATGTCTTTTGTATCAAGGCCTTCCAGGTCTCCTGATCTAAGGCAATTCGGGTTTTTTCGTTTTGGAATATGTCCAGAATTTTTTTTTTCTCGCATGGCCCCTCTACTACAGCGCTGGTACAACTGAGGGAGCACATTGCTATGAAAACAACTGACAGAAGAATGCTACAAAAAATATGGCTCGAATTCGATTATGGCTGGAATATGTGTCTTTAAACTAACAGAGCTATCACGAAACACTCATAGCGTGTGAAGAAAACTTTGTGAAATTCCGGTTCTTTTCATAAAGGAATTATTTTTGTAAAAATTTAGCGTTCCGATATCTAATGAATAAATTATATTAATTTTGCTCGTTTATCTCCAAACTCCTCATATTGTACTTGATTTTGTCAATTTGATATGATTTTTGGTACTATAAGTCAGTATAATAAATGCAGATTATTTTGATAGAGTAACAATAAAGAATTAAAATTATTTTTTTAAATTAAAGCTTGCGACAAAAATTAATGACGGTTTTCATTGAAATCGATTTTAGTGATACTATAAGTACTTTCAACAAGTTCTAGAAAATAGTCCTGTTGTTGCTGTGAAAATAAATACATATTATTTAGAAGCCCGCAGACAATAATAACAATAATAAATTTAGGTAACCTTACTGCAGACAAGAAAAGATTTCTCAAGGGCTGCCAGTTAATTGATTATTATTCAATTAGTTTGCTTATGCTTAGAATAAGTACTGTGACTCAAAAATATAAGATCGCGAAAAGAAAAGAGCAATTTTAAGGGCTAATTAAAAATCAAAGTAAAATCTAATATATGCAGATATCAAAGACAATCAAAATATTTCGGTGATATAATAATGAAGACATTTTCTGGTAATGCAGAGGAAAAAGTTGCGTTAAAATATCGCTTGGGATTAATTTTCTGACAATGTGCTAATCATTAAAATTAATTTTCTGACAATGTGCTAATCATTAAAATTTGAGTTGTACGAGGAGGTTATATTTCTCTTCGCCTTATACTAATATGATATAAATTTGAAACTTTTATTCATGTTAATTATTTCTTCTTCTTTAGTTCTTTCTAGCTATGAATGGTTTTTCTAATCACAGCAAGTGATAACAGAATTTTATTGAGCCATTGTTGCAGCAAAATGTATTTTTCTCTCATTACTTTTTTATATTTGGAATCGTTAGGACAGAAATGGTCTTTCACACATTCGGTTCAGAGTATGTAGAGGTTACGAGATGAACCAGTCCTTGAACTTCCGTTGCTTCTGGGACATGGAAAAACATTGATATTCCAGAAGAAATATCTGACGTGAAGCTTCCCTGGAACGTGACGTCACGCATTACGCAACACGAGATCCCCACAAACATCGGAAGCTTATAAGAACCGCAAGCTGTACCTTAATTGCAATCAAAACAATTCGATGTAACACTCTTCTGTTCCGCTAGATAATTTTCTTAGTTCCTCAATTTGGAATACATTTTAGGTTTTTTGGGAGATCAAGGTGCACTATTCATTTAGGTAAGACATCCGATTTTTAAGGTGCATAAGGAAATTTAATATCATTTACATTTATCTTGTTTGGATGTTTATTATTTCATTTACTTCTTATTTATATGTTTTTTGTGCATAACAAATATGCATAGGAGTTTTAAAATTTCAACAAATAATCTAGGAAAAATAATATTATGTACCAAAAATTAAATTAATAAATTATAAATCATGACAGAATTAATATTCCAATCATTCGAAGTCCAGGTGTCCGGAGCTTCATTTATTCTTCCTCTTGTTCTTTCTAAATCCAATCAAACTAAGCTTGTTGTTAATTTATTTATGCTTTTTAAAATTTTTCTTGGTTAAAATAATGTTAAAGAATAAATCAATGCACAGCGTATTTTAAGAAGCTGTTAAATGAATTTAGATGATTATTCCATGTGTGATTTGGATTACAATGTTCGATAAATTTATAGCCTGCAAACATCAACGGTAACGCAATTACGTAATAATATATATATGCAAAATTCTACAGTAAGACAAATATTATTAGAGAAGAGAGAGAGAGAGGCCTAATATGAAAGAATACTCTTACTACAGTCATTACAAAAATATAAGTCTACTAAGAACTGTATAAAATTACTTAGTGTATATAAATATATGTATATTGTAAAAAATTTACCGCCGCTATTTACTTAATATTAACTATTTCATTCATTAACTGGATCAGAAAATATTGTTGTAGTTATATGTTCTAAAAACTAAATATCATTTTATTCCTTAACTGCATAATTTTTGTCTAAATAAAATAAACAAACGACAAAACGAATGAAACTGTATGTGATAACTTTATATGAAAAAGTTTGGATTATTTTTTATATCTACTGTAAATCAGACGTAGCTTTATCTCTGTTTCCAAAGCTTGGCAAAATTCATTAATGTTTGCAGAGCAAATTCTTTCAAAAAACCAGTATCAAATAAAAATGTAAAATTATCACTATATTTTATTAATTTTTAAAATTTACTTGTTAGAAGTCTTAAAATTATATGTATTTAAATGTTAAAGGACTTCGTTTTAAAGATATTTTCAGCAAAGTATTAATTCATCGGTAATTTCATACCCAAATTGAACTTTTTTTCTTCCAATTTATAGTTCTAAAATGGGAAAACATCTAGAGCAGGCTTTTCAACTAGTAAAGAATTCCCCATAAAGCGGAATTTCGTTTGTTCGTTTTTCGAATATAGTTTGGAGAGGGATGCGGTCAGTTTTTTATATAGCTATTAAGTATTTAGTTTTAGTTCATGAAAATAAATAAATAAATAAATAAAATTAAAAATTAAAAAAACTTCTTTTATTAAATATTTGAAAACATTTCTATACCTTTTGTTGTTTAATTTATAAAAACACGTTAAAAATAATATAAATCTGAATAAATGTATTTTTCAAGTTTTGGAAAGGGTGGGGAACAGTGGTGTAGCTAGGATGGGGCAAGGCGGGACATCTGTCTCCGGGCGCAGCATCCAGGCGGCGCCAAATTGATGCTACAAAATGTTTTAATGAAATATTTTCCATTCTTGGCATATAGAAAGGGGTGCAAATTCTTCTGTTATCCCCAGGCGCTAGAATCCTAGCTACGCCACTGGTGGGGAAAGATTTTCTATCAATGGTAAAAGGGATGCATGGAGTAAAAAGGGTTAAGAAACACTGATCTAGAGATTTTTTTGAAATCTTTTAGCCTTCCCATTTTAGTTGCCTAAATCAATAGTAGTTTTAATATATTCTATTGGATTTTTAGCAAAGTTAACGTTCTGTGCAAAAGCAGTGTCATCGTTTATCCACTGTAACTATTTACTTGCAAGATTCGGGATACTTAATATAACTTAACAATAATGTAATAAATGAATTCATTATTGTAAATACGTTTAGCTAAATATCAATATCGGTGATATTTTAATGCCATTTCTCCTTTCAAAAATTCAGTTGCATCGTTTGCGATTGAATTCAAAATGCGTGACCGACAAAGTAAATGGATTTGAATTCTATTTTTCTTTTCATGCATATATAAGTGCAATTTCCATGGCTTTGAGCTTGTGACTAATCAAAATTTACTGTTTTGTAGAGTCGTTAGGTTATTTAAAAGCGGGAAGAGATGAAAAATGTGCAATGTCCTCTCCGGAATTTGGGCCTCGACATCTCGAGTATGCTTCCAATTACACCAAGAAGGTATGCAAAAAGGAGAGAAAAAATATCTTATATACTGCCACTTTTAAAGGGCCTTTGGGGATTAGGGGATCCAATCGCCAGATCCTGGGGGTGATGAATTATCATCCACCGCCTTTTAGTTCGCGCGTCACTTGTAGAGTCATTAAGCTATTTTGAAGCAGGAGATATGAAAAATGTGCAGTGCCCTCGACAGGACTCGGACCACACCACGAAGGCATGCGGGAAGGAGGGAGAAAATATCTTATAGTTCTTACACTTAATCTTAGTCAAATTCAATCATAAATCTCTATAATATCTCAGAAGTATTCATGCATTACTCCTTTCCAAGGCATTTGGATTACGGAGTACCTTTGAAATTAATTGCAATTACCTCCACATCATCGTTCAGATAAATGAATTAAATAAGAGAGAAGCAGTCGCTAAAGTTGATGAAAGAGCAAATAAGCTAAAGTCAGGAATCGCTAAGGGTCCATTACTCCTTTCCAGACACAAACGGAGAATAATTGCTCTTAATCCACGATAATCTCAATCTAGTATAACTGAAAAATATTTGCTTTCTTCTCATGTACATACTATTTCTTTTTTAATTCTTTTTTAATTCTTTTTAATAATTTTTGATTTTTTTGTAATTTTTTAAATCATCAGAGCAAATTAAAAATGTTTTTATTTAAGTGCTTTTTTAAACATTATGAAGGAAGTTAAAAATATCAGATATTTATAATGTGCAGCCACTATATGACGCATAAAATTTTAAACATGCACCTTTGAAAGTTAACTTTTGAGGTAACAAACATTTTAATTGATCCGTAATCGTACGAGCACGGAAGAGAAGAAAAATAAATATGTATGTGTATATTTATTTTACCATGTTAATCATTATAAAATTGAAATTAGTCATAAATTCAATTGCATACAATTATAAAATAAGTCATCATTCAGATTAGTCTTTCATAAAATTGAAATTAGTAAAAAAAAATTAAAAACACAGAATGTACAGTATACATTTTAATTTTCTATATTTGCCATCCACTCTTAACTGACCATTAGTAAGAATAGTCTAGTTGCCTATTGCGGAAAGATAATTCTGGTTCTATGCATGTAATTTGTAAAATTGGTAGAAGATTCCAAAACTGAAAATAAGTTAAAGGCAACCTATCTAATCGAAATAAAGCGTTTTTATTACTTTCACGTTTTGATTCTTTCTTTATTCATTCAATTTGTTATTTTTACAATACAGAAATGATAAACATGATCTGCATTTCGGTATTAATGTTATGTTGCCAGTGTGTTTTAAATAGCTTACAGTGTAACATTACGAAATTTGTATTTTTCAAAGAAGCGCTTTAATGTTGTCGTATTTTTTGTTGTGTAGTGCTTATTAAAAATAAATAAATAAGTAACAGTTTTTTAATTCGTCATTTCGATTCTAATATTTTAGCTCTCCATGCTAATTTAATAGAAAAATAGTGGTGGTTCGAGGTGACAATGTATATGTATGTATATTTTAATCATTACTATTAATTTTGATTATCTCCTAGGAAACGAAGAGTAATTACTAATGTGATGGGAGATTACGTTAGTAATTACTCTTCGTTTAATATTTACTAATATTTAATATTAACTAAGTTAAATATTAGTAAATACTGTAAAACTGTGAAAAGCAAAATGTGGAAAAAGTATTAAATTTAATATTTAATTAATAAAACTCAAATATTAAAAATAAAAGAAAAATAGAAAGCATGAAAAATATTAAGCAAATAATTATTGCTGATTTCACAGAAAGATCCTGACTTTTCAATGGGAATTAGTCTCTTTCCATAAAATCATCAAATATTGGCATGCGATCACGTTTGGCCTATTTCGTAGTTTGAAATAAAACTTCTATGACAAATTCAAAAAGCATAGCGGTTTTATTAGACCAAAAGCAATCGGACCTCATGTTCGTATTATATGGTGACTCTGTATAACTTGGGCTCATTGCACGGGCTCGTTCCGTCAACGTATCTTTCAAGTGTCCGCCTTAATAAGTGTCCATGGTATGTTATGGTAGTAACGGGTGACGGAGAATCATTGTTTGATTCCAGAGAGAAAGCCTGAGAAACAACTACTATTTACATCCAAAGAAGACAGCAGATATGCATTCAGTAGGAAATAAATAGAAATGCATTGTGACCGTCAACGAAGCATGATTTAGCTAAATGACTGCGTTGCGTGCATAGAGGTTCGTAATGGATTGAATGCCTGCAGAACCGACGATAGCATGATAAAATTTATTTTACCAAAAGAAATACTTTACAGTTTTAGAACTTTCCACAAAAATACTCGTATAGCTTTTCTCGGTATGACAGAGCATAATCAGTAGTTACATTTCAAACTACTAAGAACGTTTCAAATTACGCAATACAAAGCGCATCTAAAGAGCAAAGCTCACACAGCGATAATCTCAATATTCCAAAGTCGACTGTGAACTAACAACTGCTGAGAAAGTGATACTCTTCACAGTCTTATACAGTTTTCCTCCAGCCGCCGAGAAATCTGTAGTTCCTTCCATTTCTCAAAATTACTGGAAAGCATATACGGTTAAAGTTACATCTAAGCGCCTGGTACGGTTACAGCTATATATAAGATTAATTGCAGTTATTCAATTACAATACCCCCTACAGTTACACCAATGGACCGGATAAAAATGTCGCCAAGCTTGGTAGCTTTTAGTGATTTCTCGCCAACCTCGGCGAAAACATTATTCGCCAAAACTATCGCCACTTGGCGATAGCTCCCAGTTTAGCGAGATAGTCATTTACTC